ATTAAATATCACTGCCATTTTATAAAAGCTTTTTGTGGTAGTATGAGCCAGCCTGTCCCTGTACTTTGGAAATATCTTTAGGTCGTAATGATGTAAAGAACAGATAAGTTTATTTCTTCCATCAATTCAATGTCAGAAAGAGTCTTTTGCAGATGGGGTCAATAGAACCAAAAACAAATTTCCAGAGTAAAAATATTTTATCCTCTCCATGTTAAATATCCTCTTTTTAAAAAAAAATAAATACCACAAAATTCCTTAATGTGACCACAGCTCCAACATGTAGTAGTCAAAATCATATTGCCATGACAATCCCTTTGTTCCTTTACCTCTCCATCTTGATTTCTTTTTTAAAAAATTTGTTTTTATTGATGTCAGAGAGAGGAATGGAGAGGGAGAGAAAGACAGAAACATCAATGATGAGAATCACTGATAGGCCGCCTCCTGCATGTCCCCTAATGGGGACCCATCCCAAAACCCTAGCATGTACCCGGACCAAGAATTGAACCGTGACTTCCTGTTTCATAGGTCAACACTCATCCACTGAGCCACACCAGCCAGGCTCCATCTTGATCTCTTATTCTTTCTAATCCTCAGGTCACCTTTCACTCTTTCCTGACAGTTACTATTATGATGATCTACCTGGATAATAACAGGAATACTATGGAAAGACCTGCACATTTCAGACCTTATTTAAGACATTGCTAGAGAAACCCCAAAACAACAAGGGGAACAATAACACCAGAGGAAATTTTAGCTTTTGATTCCTACAGCTAACAGTAAACTATACAGACTAACTCCTAGCGAGGTGTCAGAGAAAGGTCTAATTCTTGCAGTACTTACTCCTAAATCCTGCTCACAGTGCTAATTGTGAGAGCATGTTCCTCTTTGAACCCTGCTCTCTAGACTAACTGTTGGGAACTCAGTTCCTTTATTCTGCTCTACTCCTCCACTGTTGGGTCCGAGCCCCTCTGCCAGGGACTGGATCTTCACGGATGCCGGGTAGTAGATGGAGAAGCCATAAGAAGTTGTGGATGTATATATAAGAGAATCTTTATTGTAGAAGCTAGTGGCCATGTAGCCATTGCTAACAAGAAGCCATTAGATAAAGTAGTTCTCCAAAGTAAAGTCCTATACTATAGGTAGACGCACACCAGCTAGTTAACAAATCATCTTTCCCACAAAGCAGCAGCAGCCTCTGTACCTACAGCTATTATCTGTGCAACCGCGGGCTGCCTCTAGACCAGTTGGCAGCCGCTGCCACTGCCTCACACAGCAGCAGCACCTGAGCTCTCTAACCTCAGCAGCCTCTCTAGCACACCAGCTGGTCAGTAACATGTTATACTATTCAGACAAAAGAGGCTTCTTTCCAAGTAGTGACCTCACTAATTTGGGTTATAGAAGGGCACAATGTACTGAGATTGCTGTAACCTTGCTTCTGTATATAGTCCTTGGACACCCAGGCCCTGGCCATCTGGCGTACTCCGGCACGGTTGCCAAACAGGTAAACTTAAAACGTCACACCAAAGGCTTATTTACCTCAGTTCCTTTTACCAGTACATCCGACTTTCAACAAAAAACTACAAGGCATACTAAAATACAAAATGTACACTGTGAAGAGACAGACCAAGAGTCAGAACTGATACTGGATACAACGGCGAGGCTGCCTGTCACTACTTGAACCAAATTAAGAAGAGACAGGTTGAATCATATATGAGCGTTTATTCCAATAATACTGGCAGTATGGGGAGGGCAGTCGGTCACCCTGGAAATTCTGCTCTCACGCCGCTGGCTTGCTGACTGATTATATACAGGTGAAGGGGAAGATAACTACGTGCAGCTGCGAGTGTAACAGGGAAAGGAGGGGGGTAGGGTCTGCAGTCTGGCCTTCAGGAGCTCAAAGTCTGATAACAAGTTGGCTAATCTTCTATGATGTTACAAACAGCTCAGCCCGTTCCTGGAACCAGAGAATGGTCAGCATTCCCGGGGCAAACTCCCGGAGGGGGTCAGGGTCCGGGCACAGCAACCAAATCAAAGTGAGTCCTGTCCTTGGTTTGTTCTCAAAATGTATTTCTTTTCTGAGTAATGGACCCATAGAGGCATCTTATCTTTTTATAGCCTTGTTTCATCCTTCAGTTTCCCAGGGTCTGTAAGAAAACACTTATCTATAGTTAGTAAGATGATAACTTGTTAACCAACTCGCTTGTATTCCCCTCCTCCCCCTCAATGATGAGAGAGAATCAATGATCAGCTGCCTCCTGCAAGCCCCACACTGGGGATTGAACCCACAACCCGGGCGTATGCCCTGACTGGGAATCTAACCATGACCTCCCGGTTCATAGGTAGACGCTCAACCACTGAACCATGCTGGCTGGGCAGTGGCTCTATTCTTATTACATGCCCTTCCTTTTATATGCCCTTTCCCCTATCAAAACCAGATTCAGCCCTGACCAGTTTGGCTCAGTGGATAGAGCGTCGGCCTGCGGACTGAAGAGTCCCGGGTTCGATTCCGGTCAAGGGCATGTACCTTGGTTGCGGGCACAGCCCTGGTGGGGGGTGTGCAGGAGGCAGCTGGTTGATGTTTCTCTCTCATTGATGTTTCTGACTCTCTATCCCTCTCCCTTCCTCTCTGTAAAAAAATCAATAAAATATATATATTTTTTTAAAAAAACAACAGATTCAGATACGGCAGAGATATTGGAATTATCAGACCAGGAATTTAAAACTATTAATATGTTAATGGGTTTAATGAAAAAAGTGGACAACATTTAAGAACAGGTGGATAGTATAAGCAGAAAGATATAAACTAAGAACCAAAAGGAAATACTAGAAATAAATAATACTGTAACAAAAATGAAGAGTGTCTTTGACAGGCTGATCAATAGATGAGCATGGCTGGGGAATCGATAAACTTGAATAAGTGTCAATAAACATTTTCAAAATGTTTAGAAAATGCAAAGAAATGTAAAGAAAAAGACAAAACAATATCTAAGCAATGTGGGACAATTACAAAATGCACATGAGAATACCAGAAGGAAAAGAAAGGAACAGAATATTTGAAGCAATAATAACCAAGAATTTCCCAAAATTAATGATAGACATCAAACACAGATGGAGGAAGCTCAGAAAATACCAAGCAGGACAAAAATAAAAAATCTACACCTAGGCATATCATATTCAAACTGCAGAAAATAAAACACCAAATGAAAACCTTGAAGCCTGGGGGTAGAAGAGGGGACACCTTACCTACAGAGGAGGAAGGGTAAGAATTACAACAAACTTCTCTCCAGAAAGCATGGCAAGTACGAAGAGAGTGGAATGAAATGCTTAGCATATTGAAGGGAAAAAGGCCACCAGCCTAGACTTCTGTATCCAGCAAAATTATATTTTACAAGTGGAGAAATAAAGACTTTCTCAGGCAAACAAAAATTTTGTCACCAGGAGACTTGACTTGCAAGATGTGTTAAACGAAAATTTCTCAGCAAGGACAATGATATAGGTCAGAAACTCAGATCTACGTAAAGGAAGAACTTTACAGAAAGAATAAAGGTAAGATTAAAAGGAAGATTATTAGAATTTTACACATATCCAATTTGGGTACTGTGGGGACCTCCAACTAAATGTCCCACGGACGGTCAAATATGTGAATCACCTCAGACCTTGGGACCGGAGGGATATGGAAGCCATTCCTCTAGGGCAGCGGTCGGCAAACTACGGCCCCTTGAGTGTGGCTCTCCCACAAAATACCACGTGCGGGCGTGCACGTACAGTGCGATTGAAACTTCGTGGCCACACTCAAGGGGCCAAAGAGCCGCATGTGGCTCGCGAGCCGGTTTGCTGACCACTGCTCTAGGGAAAGAGTTAGCCCATGGAAAGGGTAGTTTCTCTCTAACCGGTTTGGCTCAGTGGATAGAGCGTCGGCCTGGACTTTAGGGTATCCGGGTTCAATTCCGGTCAAGAGCATGTACCTTGGTTGCGGGCACATCCCCAGTACGGGGTGTGCAGGAGGCAGCTGATCGATGTTTCTAACTCTCTATCCCTCTCCCTTCCTCTCTGTAAAAAATCAATAAAATATATTTTAAAAATAAAAAAAAGGAAAGGGTAGTTTCACTGAAGCCCTGTAAGGTAGTCAGGGCAGGTAATTATTCGAGCAACAAAAAATATACACTGTGTGCAGGTTCTGCACTTGGCGGTGGAAATAAGTAGACACCGGGGGCAGACGAGTAAAACAGTCCGTGAGGGGCCGCCTGGACTAAGCGCACAGCAGAAAACCGATAAACGAAACTATTTTACTTTTTTATAAAAATTTAAATTACATGATACAGAAAAGCACATGAATTACCTACAGTGGCACCAACCAAAGAAAACCAGGTAACAATCCGATGTGTCCTTCGAACTCCGAGAAGGTGGCGCCCTCTGCTGCTTGCTCAGAGGAACAGTTCAGGTCTCACCGGCAGCGGCGGCCCAGCCCGGAGGCTTCGCCGCGCCGGGTGGCGGCCTGGGGTTTGAGGGGTTTCTGTGGGTGACGATGACGGAGAGGACAGCGGCATGCCCCGCTTCACACACCGGACAGCCAAGCCTCAGAGACGGACGGCGGGAGCTGGGAAGGCGCCTCGCCACCGCCCAGGACCCACGGAGACGGCGGGGCGGGGCGGCCGCCGGGGCGGAGCTTTATGACGCGCCGTCGCGTTCCCCGCCTTCTCCCCCCGCCCGTGACCCGTTGGTTCTCCATTACCGCCCTTTTCCGGGGCAAGAGAAACCGGTCGCAGGCCCTCGGGTTCGGGACAACGGCGCCGTTTAAGGCCGAGCGAGCGCCCTGGAACCATTGGGGCCGCTGGATTCTTCAGCCCGGCTCCCGCCCAACCTGGAGAAAACCTACAAAGTTCTGGCGGCCTGTGGAAGGGCGCTGAGTCGGACCGCGAAGCGCACGACGCCCCTGACACGGCCGAGCGTCCGGGCGCCGCCGGAAGCCCCGCCCCCGGGCGGAGTCAGAGGCCTTTCGGGAAGGACCTCAGCCCCGCCCCCGAGGCCGAGCGCGCCGGCCATGGCCGAGCCGCCGGGGGCCGGCCCCGCGGCCCTGCGCGTGGCTGCCGCTGCCAACTGGCTGGTCGTGCGCCGACGCCGCGTGGAACATTTCCCACGAGTGTTGGAGTTCCTGCGGTGTCTGCGCGCCGCTGCTCCTGGCTTGGTTCGCTACCGCCACCACGAGCGCCTGTGTATGGGCCTGAAGGCCAAGGTACCGGAGCCGGTGGGACCGGGAACGGGCAGAGGGGAAGGGGCGGGATGCAAGGATCAGACTAGGACAGACCGCTTCGGGGTTGGGAGCTGTTGCAAAAGGGGAGCTGGCCCCGAAGTGGGAATTCTGAGCTCAGTCCCATTCACAGGTGGTGGTGGAGCTGATCCTCCAGGGCCGGCCTTGGGCCCAGGTTCTGAATGTCTTGCATCACCACTTTCCAGAGTCTGGACCTGTAGTGCGGGACCCCAAAGCTGTAAGTAACCCCTGGAACCGTCCCCACCCACAGTGGATCCTCGGTGCCCCTAATTTGTCTGCCCGCTTTACCTTCAACAGACAGAGCAGGATCTGAAGAAGATCTCAGAGGCACGGGAAGCCTTTTGCCAGCAGGTGAATTTGCTGGCAGAGGCCCCTGTGGATTTGGCTTGGAAGTTGCAGGTGAGACTAGCGAATTTGGAAGCTATGATATGGCTTTCTTTTCTAGTCCCCTCCTGACCTGCTTTTTTCTGTCTGCAGGAACTTGAACAAGAGTATGGGGAACCCTTTCTGGCTGCTATGGAAAAGCTATTTTTTGAATACTTGTGTCGGCTGGAAAAAGCACTGCCTACCCCACAGACACAGCAGGTTTTCCTAGGCTTAAACACAGAGGGCGGAGGGCGGGGTGGTTGGGCCAAGGTCTGTGGTCTTCATGCTCTCTCCCTGCCCACAGCTTCAGGATGTGCTGAGTTGGATGCAGCCTGGAATTTCTATCACTTCTTCTTTTGCTTTGAGCCAATATAGTGTGGACATGGGGTGGCCACTTCCAGGTACCAGGGCCATCTGGAAAAAATTAGGAATTTGGGGGTGGAATAAGTAGGCTGAGGCCTTTTGAGACAGCCAGCCCCTTGGAAGGATTACATTGGCTTAAGACCCAGGAAACCAGACTGAGTTTATGTGTTACTGTCTCTTCTCTTTATAAGGAACATTCTTTTCTTTCTAGAGTGCTCTGTTACTAATTCAGTGAACATGTCAGAGCCCATGGAGCCCAGTCCTCCTCAGCAACCAAGACCAGCACTCCATCAACCTGTGCCAAAAACCAAGCCTGGCCCACACCTTCCTCACGGAGCAGCCTCAAGAAAGCACCCAGAACCTTTGGCTGGCCACCACTTCAATCTGGCCCCTCTAGGCCAGCGAAGAACCCAGTCCCAGTGGGCATCCAGTAGGGTAGGCCATAAGGAGCGCCCCACAGTCATGCTGTTCCCCTTTAGGAATCTGGGTTCACCAACCCAGGTCATATCTAAACCTGAGAACAGGAAAGAACAAGGGACACACATGGCAGTTCCAGCAGGTGACGTCAGCGCGAGAACAGCCTCCACTGAAAAGTCTAGGAGTCCATCCCAGACCCTGGGCGGAGGGACTGTGAAGGAGAACCCAGTTGACTTGTCAGCCTCGGAGCAAAAGGAGTAAGTGGAACAGTTGCTTCTGCCTACTGACAGCACATGCCTTGCCTGCTTTCCCTCCATCCTCTCTTCTTTGCTTGTTCCCACCCCAGGAATTGCTGGGACTGCCCCATGGAGCCCCTGAGACTGTCATTATCACCTCCTAGGGCCAGGAAGCCAGGTAGGTATACTGAGTCAGGACTGGATCAGACAGCCTCCTCTCTTGGGACGCTTGAGGGCCTGTGTTCACCTAGAGGAGTACTTTGATTCTGGTTTCCCTCTTGCAGTGTGTCCTCCATCGTTGTGCAGCCCTGTCATTACCATAGGGGACTTGGTTTTGGACTCTGATGAGGAAGAAAATGGCCAGAGGGGAGGAATGGTGAGTAGGGAGGAACAGAAAGCTGGGGAAAGAAGGAGATGGGGCAGAACAAGACAGAAACCCATGCTCCCTGAATACGGAGGGCTCAGGGAATGTTTCAGGTGACAGGATCTCCCTGCTCCTTTCTCTGCAGTTGTCTCTGGAAAACTATGAGAAGACAAAGTTTGACACCCTAATCCCCACCTTCTGTGAATATCTCCCCTCTTCTAGTCCCAGTGCTGTCTCTGCCCCTTCCCATGACCATATAGACTCCTCCGATAGGACCAGAATGCCATCTGCATCTTGCCTGTCTCCTTCCTCCTCACCTCTACAGGCAGTTTAGTGGGGATAAAGTGGAAGCCCAGGCTTGGGTTGCTTGACTATATGGCCCAAATTGCTTTGTAACGCTTGATCATTAAACTTTGTTTGTTAAAACACTGTGTTGCTGTGAGGGAGGGGAATTAAGGCTTCTATAAGGTTAGTGTAAATCATTCCTTAGAAACATAACTGGCCTCTCCAGGCTAAAAGAATCCCTTTGCTCTTTTACTTCCCTTGGAAAGTGTTGTTCAGGTGTATCAGAGAGATTACCAGGGCTGAGAGCCTGGATGAGAAATTTCCTTTTGCTATTCTGAAAATATCTGTGTGTCCTAATGCCAGAATATATACTCTGTAAATTTTCATGCTGCCAGGTTATCTAGGGGGTTAACACTTGAATGGAGATGCTTCATAGAAAAAGTACTTACTGTCCTCGACTCCACTGGGTCAGTGCCATCTCCACCTCCACTTTCCTGGAGCCAGCACCCAGACGCCAGGCTTGTGTAGAAAGCCCCAGAATCTCTTTACAGTCACTGGGATCTCTCTTTATAGAGACACTTAAAAAATATAAACACTTAACAGCTTTTTAGATATTCAAAGATTGCATTTAATGAAGCTGATTAGCAAAGCATGATTCTGAAAGCCTACCTCTTAAGACCATGGCCATATCTAAAACATTTATGTACTGTATGAATCACTATCTTTTTCTTTTAGTAATCTTCAGAAGCTGAGTCTCCAGATTCCCATTTGATTATCAACTTCATTTTCTCAGCCTGCCTTCCTTGCTTCCTCCCTAGCGAGTGCGTTTTGTGGATGCAGATAGACACATTATTGCAGGAGCTCTCAGGAGTGAGATGATCACATAACAGTCACAGCAGCTGGGATGGGTGAGGGGCCCACGTGGGAGGCCCTGTAGTTTGATGCTGGTGCCTTGGGAGGGCAGAACTGCTCAGACCTAGCTCACAACACTGAAGCTTGGATTCACCTGCTGGGTGACACGGATGAAGGTAGTTCTCCGACTCAGCTCCTTCAGCTTAGCTGCTCCTACGTACGTACATGTGGAACGGATGCCTCCAAGTATGTCTCGGATGGTATGTTCCACATCCCCTTTGAAGGGCACCTCCACCGTCTTTCCCTCTGAGGCCCTTAAAGGAGGAAAATTTTTCTTTTTCCTTCTGGATTCCTTAAGCCAAATGACTCTTCCCCAGTCCATTGCATTAAGCCCTGGTTCGCCACTTTTCTCCCCAGAACTATACCATCCATCTCTCAGCAGCCCTGAGTTCTGCCACCACCCTACTTAGCCACACCTTCCAAGAACCCTCAGCTCCTGGGCCTCTACACGTACCTGTACTCAGCAACGCCCCCGGCATACTTCTTCATGGCTGTTTCAGAACTCATTCCGTAGAAGAGCTTGTATTTTTTGCCATCCCTCTCGACGAGCTCACCACCTGACTCACTGTGCCCAGCCAGCATGCCACCCAGCATCACAAAGTCAGCCCCTGCCCCTATCAATGAGAGGAAAAGAGATGACTCTAGCCCAGATGTTCACGTGCCCACCCACCCTCAGAAGCAACTCACACCAAATTCTAAAGCCACTAGAGATTCCCTGCCTGGCTTTGCTCTCTCTTTTTGCTGCTTTTGCTGTCTTTCTCTTTACTTTTCCCAGTTGAACAAGACTCACTTCAAGTATTCCAAGAGCAAAGGTCTCTAACTGTAGTGTGAGCAAGGATCACCTGGGAAGCTGTAAAAAATGCAGATCTGCAGCCCACTCTCCAGAGCTGGATTTTGTAACTCTGAGGGGCATTTACATTGCCCAACAGCCCAGGGGCTGGTGCAGATGGTCCTGGCCCACACTTGGGAGAGTCCATATCACAGTTTCAGCTGGCTCGCCCAGATGACACCACCACAGGCTTCAGGGCCATGAGTTCATATTATGAAAGAACCTGAATGGCTTCCTCAGCCTTAGCCTGATCCTAGACCCTCAAAGGTGATGCATCCTCTCCTATAGGATCCTCCTCCTGTGCTCTCCCAGTGTCCTTACCGAAAGCCTTGGCCACATCCCCAGGAGAGCTGCAGCCTCCATCCTGCAAAGTAAGAAGCAACGTGAAGAAACAGCATGGATTTCCCAAGCCCTCTCAGCAGTGTCCCAACAGTCCACCTCAAAGCTGACAGGAACCCAGGAGTCCTGATCCACCTCTATCAGAGCTTCCATACCCAGTAGAAAACCCAGATGTTTGGCAGCCTCATACCCTGCTCTCCCCTTGGACCTTACTGAAATGATGTGGCCTTTGAGGCCATGAGCAGCATCTGCACACTCCATCACTGCACTAAGCTGTGGATACCCGACTCCAGTTTTCTTCCGGGTGGTACACACAGAGCCTGAGGAGAATGTGACAAGGATGAGAGAGAAGTGCTCCATAGCTACGTGCCACTGAAAAGAGCCAATGTCCCCCAATGAGCCAGCTTACCTGGTCCAATTCCCACTTTGATGATGTCAGCACCAGAGAGGATCAGCTCTTCCACCATCTCTCCTGTTACCACATTCCCTGCCTAAGACAGCAATCAAAACAGCATTCTTAGGGTCAGAAATGAAGAAGTTGTGTGCTCTCATATGTAGCATGCCTGGACCAGGTCCTTCCAACATTATTACAAAGAAGGGTACCTGGCTTCCCTCTGCTGGGCCCTCTGAGAGCTTTTAGATCAGCCTCTTCAAAGGATCCTGCTTTCCCAGGTGAGGTAAGGGGGTTAGTCACCAGTGTCACTGTTGCATTAGGGTAAAGCTGGGATCCAACTGGACCAAGATGAAATCTGATTTACCAGAGAGACCCAAAATGTCCTGCCCTTAAGCTGTTAAGTGATAAAACCTCTCTGGCTTAGGGGAAAGGGGAAGACATGATGATGTAGGCTATATACCGGCCGTGGGCAAACTACGGCCCGCGGGCCGGATCCGGCCCATATGAAATGAATAAAACTAAAAAAAAAAAGACCGTACCCTTTTATGTAATGATGTTTACTTTGAATTTATATTAGTTCACACAAACACTCCATCCATGCTTTTGTTCCGGCCCTCCGGTCCAGTTTAAGAACCCATTGTGGCCCTTGAAAGGGGAAGACATGATGATGTAGGCTATATACCCATCTACATAGCTGTATTTGCTGCTTTTGTTTTGTTGTTTTGTTTTGTGTATATGCTGATGAACAGAAAAGAGAGCTCCCTCAATGCTGTGAAGAAAATGAGGTCTTGTAGTCATTCCCCTAAGCTTGTAAAAAAAATACGTTACATGTGATCCCTTTAATAGGATTGTAGTATGTTCATTTCAGTAGGCAGGTAGATATATATCACAGGTATGTACAGTGCATAAGCACATCATGATTTGGTGAGTAACGTCAGGAACACTGGATTTACAAAGACAATGTATCAAGAGTCAGAGATTGCAATGACCAATAAACATTTTAAGCATGGAACCTTGGATAATCACCTAGTGACATGATTAAGCAGACCAGGAAAATCAAAATGCAGCAGAGGAGAAATGAACTGATGTAACAAAAAGGAGTGGCACAAAAGGGAAAGAAGGAGAGGAATGTACCATCTACAGGGTAATAGAAACATACCATGATGGTGTGTCCAGGGAAGCGTTTCCGTACATCCTTTACAAATTCAACGAAGTGTTCAGAGTAGCCATTTGCCACGTCCAGGCATATATATTTCACCTGGGGAATACCTTCCAGGATCTGTTCTAGCTGCTCAAAGTCAGAAGAGCCTGTGCCTGAGCTGGCAGCCAGATGCTGTGGGAGAAGCAGGGGCATTGGCATGGGAGGCATTAGACAGCTGTGGCATGTTTGGAAAAACCTGATGAGCAGTCTAAGAGTTGATCCCCAGGAAGCTAAGAAAAAATTTGTGGGAAAATGGGATAAGAAGGGATCACGGGAGAGCCAGTATTACCTCAAGACAGTCAGGATTCTGGCCGGCAAACTCTTTCCACTGCTCCAGGCTATAGTGTTTGTGAACAGCAGTGAAGAGGGAGAACTGAGGAGGAGAAAGAGCCATCAAAAAGGAGAGAACTTTATTAGGATTTCTTTTTCTAGAAGTAGACCTTTATACTATTCTGAGGGAGAAAAGGACTGAGGTCTGGAAAGAGAAACTTAAAGAACTCAGGGGTTGAGGTGAGATTTTTGTTCAACCATTTGTCTCCCTACAAATCTCAGTAGGACTTTTTACCATAGCTAGTACTGTCAAACACTTCCACCAAAGTACTAAGTTACCTGGTTTGGATTTCACCTGCCAGCACATACAGTGCTTCTGACTTAAAAGGTGACGGATAAAAAAGAAAAAAAAGGTGAGAGGACAAGCTGTTGGTGCAAGAGGACAAGGAATAGACAAGAACCATGAAGACGCCGGACAAAGCCAGTGTCTGCCTACACTGATTCAGCCCCTCCTTCTATGGTAACCTGGTAGAACTAACCTCCTTCTATGGTAACCTGGTAGAACTAACCTGTTTTTGGTATCTCTGGTCAGTTTACCCACAGCAATTCAGTGAGTCAAAATGCTCACAAAAGGTGCCCTGGCTGGGTGGCTCAGTTGGTTAGAGCATCGTCTCATGTGCAGGAAGGTTGCGGGTTCAATTCCCAGTTGGGGCATATACCTGGGTTGCAGGTTCAACCCCCTGGTCAGCGCATACCTAGGAGGCAACCAATCGATGTGTCTCCCTTACATTGATGTTGCTCTCTCCTTCCCTCTCTCTCTCTCCCTTCCTCCCTCTAGAATATATATATATATAAAATATTAACAAATGCTCACAAAAGGTAAGGCCTTAAGTTTAATGGAGCCAATTAGATGCTACCCCATCCTTTCTCCATCTCCACTGGAGTAAAGGACAAATTTTCTTGAGACATGGACCAACCTGAAAAGTTTATTTCATTCGATCTATTTCAGTCAACCAAGTTCAAGGACATAATGACTCACTGGACTTGTATTTTCTAGCTCAACAAATTGCAAACAGAATATCCCAATACTTTGAGAAAGGCATTCAAAGGCCACTGTGAATGCTGGTGTTTGTGCTTTAAAAGTGCAGGCATGCAAACAAATTAGACAGCAGTTAACTGAGACAGCACAAGTCTTGCAACTGGCAAGAAATCCAAGGAAGTCATGCATCAGCCAGCAGTAAGGAAGTGTTACTGTTATACTCAATCAAAGATCACCACCAACACTACCTAGCTGGTATTGAATTCTCAGCAACACTCTGCCATCAACATGCTGACAAAGGAAAATCACTCTAGGAGGTCAGCAGACCTTAGAGATAGATATAGTGTCACATGATAAGCACATCCAATTACATACCAAACTAAAGATCTAAAAAAGATGCATGCTTGCATCCAACCTTTTAATTATTACTGTGAGACTTCACTCTTATCTCTAAAATCTGATTTCTTTAGCACTCAGTAGTATTTAAAAGCCAGTCTCAACACAAAACATTAAAACAATGCCCACAAGTTCCATGTGTTACAGCATGTCTATTAATACTGCAGTCAGATTCACCATTCCTCAACTCAACAGGGCAACAGCAGGATTCCTAAATAGTTAGTGCACAGCAACAGCAATACAGTACTAAAACAATAACTACCAACCTCGGAGAAATGACAGCAGACATTCCACAGAGACTTACAGCAATCAGAAGTAAAGAAAGGGAGATGAAGTCCTGAAGGTTAAGAGCCTCAAGCAGCAACAGAATCCCATCAACCAGGGCTACGTGGATTAACCAGAAGAGTGCATATGTTCTCAAGAGTACCCAAAGTAACTATCTACCTTCTCAACTACAAATATAGAAGCAGGTAATATTACTGACAAGAGTAGCATATTCTACTTCGAAAGTGAACAATAACCTGTATATAAGAAAAACAGCCCTAACCGGTTTGGCTCAGTGGATAGAGTGTCAGCCTGCGGACTGAAAGGTCCCAGGTTCGATTCCGGCCAAGGGTATATACCTTGGTTGCGGGCACATACCCAGTAGGAGGTGTGCAGGAGGCAGCTGATTGATGTTTCTCTCCCATCGATGTTTCTAACTCTCTATCCCTCTCTCTTCCTCTCTGTAAAAAAATCAATAAAATATATTAAAAAAAGAAAAGAAAAACACATTCCATTTTGGGCACATCCCAGAAACTCCAAGGAACCTAGGACTTAAAATTAAGAAGATTAAAAAAAAAAATAGGCATATTATAAAATTAATAAGCTTCTCTCTAGAATCTCCTAGTTAGGAATTTTTAAATGCTCAAAATGTATTTAGTTTCTGGACTAAAACAGTGAATGTTTAGTTTCCTAACAATGATGTAACAGGAGAGATGCATGTGATTTGGAGGGGGTGACCTGGGGCTAAAGTTGGCAAGGTGCATAAAACTGCCGCACAGGCCCAGCCGATGTGGCTCAGTGGTTGAGCATCAACTCATGCACCAAGAGGTCACTGGTTCGATTCTGGCCAGGGCAAATGCTGGGGGTTTCAGGCTCATTCCCCAGCAGAGGGCATGGAGGAGGCAGCTGATCAATGTTTTTCTCTCATTGATGTTTCTCCCTCTCTAAAAATCAATAAAAACATATCAATTGATCAGAAAAAAAGTGTGACACCCTATATATCAGAAAAATAGGATCAAAACGTAGCTTTGAATCTCATTAACTTACATGGCTCTTTGAACTTACCAGATACTGGAGAAAAATAGTAAATTAGAGCATCCAGATTGTTAACTGCCAGAGTTGATCTGGGATGGATGGGAATGCCAATAACTCTCCACTCAGCCCAAACAGCTGGACACCATCGAGGAAGCAGCTTAAGAGAAGTCCTACCTTACAGAGGACCTTGGCCATTTCAAAGGTGCCCACAGTGTCCATATTGGCAGCAATGATGGGGATCCCAGTGTACATCTGCTTTGAGTTGCGAAATGAAAAGGATCTTGTGAGATCCACCTGCAGATATGAACAGGAAAATGAGCATTTCATTCACCCAAGAAACAAGTACTGCATGAGGAAAAATGCCAGGAATCTTCCTCAGTCCTGGTCCCGGGGAAGCGGGCTCACCTCACTTCGAGACTTAAGGGTACTGCGTTTGGGCCTCAGCAAGACGTCCTTGAAGTCCAGTTTGACGTCGTTGTCTATGTGAGGCATGGCGGGGGCTTCGGGGTAGCAACGAATCTGAGGGCTGGAAGGTAAGGAAAGACGGGACGGGGGAGCTGAGTCAATAACAAGCCTTAAGGCCCTGTTAGGGCTGGCGGCAGGGCTCATCTCTCTCCTCGCTTAAACTGTGCAAAGTCGGGGCACTGGTCGAGGCGTGGTCGGTCCCTGAAGACTGCCATCTTCGACCGGTCCCACGGTCGCGATTACCCTCGGGGTCTCCATCCCAGGGGAGAATAATTGGGATGGAATCGTGAGTGACCCTAAACAGGTACATTCTTTACACTACTTTTCCTTCTCCCTCCCGGCAAATAAGTAATGAGGGAAGAGAGTGATTTGGAGGCAAGAGGAATGGGGGAGGGGTCCCACAACCTGCTTCCGGAATCGGGGTACTCACTTCCTGTGGCCGTAGCCAAGGTGGCAGTTGACCGAAGTTCCCCTTGCTTAGCAACGATCCTCGTGCAGCCCCGCTAAGCCTTGTGGGCCACGCCAACAGATTCCGCTAATTGCGGGCGAGAACGATTAACTGAGGAATTCCAGCTTCGGCGGCGGCTGTGCGAGGTCTTCTGGTTAACGGAATTCACACACTGAGGTTGTCGTTGGTCTGAGAAGCAGGAGACTACAACTCCCAGGGTGCAACGCGCGGAGCTGCCCGCAGGCAGGATGGGAGAAGTAGTTCGTTCCGCCCGGTCTAGACCCTGCTCACTGGGGACTCTCAGAGTCGCGGAGGCGTCATCTCTGCTCTAATTAAGCTTGACACCTTCTTTTTCTTTAGGACGCCACCGAAAGAAAACGCGGGGAGCATTTCTGAGCCTTTGGGGAATCCCGGAGAAAGAAGGGGGGGTGGAGCCAGCCAATGACCCGGAAGCAGAAGTGACTCCCACCGACAGAGTGCTGGGGAGCGGCAGCAGCCACCGCAGCGGTAGAAGCAAGAATTTATCTGTGTGCAGACCCAATATCGGAAGAAGATGCTAATTAAAGTGAAGGTGGGAGCACCTCCAGCTTTGCCAAGACGCTGTGGTACTGGGCTGGCCGCTGTGCCTTACGGGAGAAGCGGGGAAGGGAAACCACGCCTTTCCCGAGCCTTGAGGGCGCTGACACCCTCAGGGCTCCGCGCGAGGGGTGATGGGAAGTGGGGGGACTCTTCACGTCTTTGATGGCGAGGGGCTGGCCCAACTAAGTGACCGCGGGGTTTCTGTCTTTCCTGCTTTCTCGCCAGACGTGACATGACCCTGAAGGCCTCCTTTGCCAGGGTTCTCGCTGTATTCAAACCCCCCGCGCTCAGGGAGAGGACCTAGCAGCAGCTTGGCTCCACTCTCCCTTAGATTCTTGGAATAAGCTCAGATCTCCGTGCTTCGTGCCCAGGTTACCTGCTTCTCCCGGTCCGAGCACAGCACAAAAACGTTAGCCTGGGAACCGGGGGGAGGGGAGGAAGGGGGAGGGGGTGGTTCCGAGGCTAGATCGTGAGTCTTTGCTGGTTGTCGTCAAGGTTTGGTATCTCAGCCAGCCTTCAGGAACCCAAACTGGGAGTGTTAGTCAGGACCTGCCTTTCCGAGCCAAGCATCCTGGGCCAGCCTCCCTTCCGTGACGGGGCGGGTTGGTTAGTTACCAGCGCCCCGGTTCTTGTACTGGCAGGGTTAACTTCATCTTCTCTCAGCTCCCATTATTTTTCAATTCCCACCCTCACCAGTCCTACCTGCTATTTCCTCTTTTGTACCTGCAGACAGACAAAAATTAACAATCGATGCAGTGCAACATTAGTTTGACTGCTTTACTTCCGAGTAAGTCTATCGTTATTTCATCAGCTCCTTAGTGTATTTGCTATATATAATAGCCATTCTTAACCTCTTCAGTTCTTCCAAACCACCTCTTAGCTACGGATTGAGGCCAAACTATATTGTTTTTCAAACTTGAGTAGTGGCCTATAAAAGAGTCGCTAATTGTGAAGTCAATTTAAGAGTTCAGTGGGTCGTGAGCAATGTTTAAAAAAGAAGAAGAAGAAAATAGAAATGTCAGGGTATACTTCTGGGTAAAAGTGTTGCGTTACTAGTTCATATGTATTTCTTGATATGGGTCACTGTCAAAAAGTGTGAAGAACACTAGCAGATCAATGCTTTTATCTTCTTTTCAATGCATAGGGTTTTTTGTGTCCCCTGAGTATACTGTTAGTCCAACAAACGATTATTATTATACTTGATGTTCAGTGTTTTGGAAACTCTTTTTAAAATCTCAATCTACATTTAAAAATTTTACCTCATGTCTCAGACACGCCCCCCCAAAAACACACACCTTATTATGTGTGATATGCTTTGACATTTCAATTCTATCCTAAGTTGATTTCATAACCCATTGATGGTTGAGACCTGCAGTTTAAAAGTATACTGTTATAGATGGGCTTCTCAACTTAAAAGTGTTTAAGAATCACCTGGGGATCTTGTGAAAATACTGATTCTAATTCAGTGGGTCTGGGATGAGACCTGAGATTCTGCATTTTAACATGCTCCCATGTGATGCTGATGCTGCTTGAGTAGCAAGGTTCTAGATTTTATCTCTTTGAATTAATTTTTATTTAGTACTTCTCTGAAATTGTCATTTTCCTTTCCTGAAACACTTTCCTTTTTACCTTTAAGTGGGTTTCTCTGTCCTTCATCTCTCTTTTTTGGTTGTTGTTTGCTACATTTCTCTATACGTTAAATACATATAAAAGTGATTAGTTGGCTGTGAGTTATATAAATGATAGGTTTTATTGGCAGGACTCCTTTATAAATTACTAATTTTTCAACTTTTCTCTCCCCTTAGCTGACTTCTTCCATATCTTTTTCTGCAGTCCTTTACAGGTCCTTCTGATTTAAATCTTCTCTTGATACTTCATCTTTCTAAAATTAAATACATCATCTTCTCTCTTAAGCTGGCTCCCCAATACTCATATATTGATCCTGCAAATCTACCAGGTATCTGGAACTCAGTTCTTTAGAGTAATTTCTCTTTTAGAACCTAATTTTTCCTTTGGTATTTCTTTTTGCTTGGTTTTCTTTTCATTCCCATTACACTTATTCTGGTCTGGGGTCTCATTAACTTATGTCTTTATTTATGTGTGATGCCTCCAACCAGGTTTTCATTTATTTATTTATTTATTAAATGTATTCTTTTATTTTTATTTTATTTTAGGGAGAGAGAGAGAGAGAAACATCGATTTGTTGTTCCACTTACTTATGCATTCATTGGTTGCTTCCTGTAGCGACCTGACTGGGGATCGAATCTGCAACCTTGATCGGAAGGATGCTCTAACCCAGCCGTGGGCAAACTACGGCCCGCGGGCCGGATTCGGCCCGTTTGAAATGAATAAAACTAAAAAAAAAAAGACCGTACCCTTTTATATAATGATGTTTACTTTGAATTTATATTAGTTCACACAAACACTCCATCCATGCTTTTGTTCCGGCCCTCCGGTCCAGTTTAAGAACCCATTGTGGCCCTCGAGTCAAAAAGTTTGCCCACCCCTGCTCTAACCAACTGAGCTATCCAGCCAGGGCTTGATAATGTAACTTTAAAAGGAACTGCTAAACAGTTCTTCAGGTGCACCATTTTACGTTCCCACCTGCAATGAATGAACTTTCCAGCTGCTTTGTACCCTTGCTAGTCATATCAGCCATTTTTATTTTAGTTATAATAGTGAGTGTGAAATGTTATTTTATTTAGGTTTAAATTAATCAGTGCTGATTTTCACTCACCATAGCATTTTGACATTGAACCTTGTATTTGGACAGTAGTATTCAATATGGCATTTCCTTGTATATATAGGCTTGTTCTATTAATTATACGGCTCAGTGTTTCTTGATTGTAAATCTTCACTTGAAAATATTGTTGGAAAGGCTGGATCACTTAATTTCTTTTATATCCCCTCCAGCACCTACAGCAGTGTGTTGGGCTTAAGTTCATCATAGACTTGTTAAATAGCATTGAATGCATTCCTGGGTCACAGTGAGCAGATCTGAGGGAAGAAGCTAGTATCGCATGATATATAAAGAATATCTTTTAAAATTGTTCAGTTACTTTTTAATTATGGACAACTTCAAACATATATCACAGCATAGAGAAAGACATACTGCACCCTTTACCCAGCTTCAAAAACTATAATTTCATGGTCCATCTTATTTACACTCACCAATCCTCCTTAGCTGATGTTTTATGAAACAAATCCCAGCATGTTACTCATACATTTCAGTATTTAGCTGTAAAAAATAACTTTTTTCCTAATATAACCATAATGATCACACCTAAAAGATTAACACTGATTTTTTTTTACTATCAACAAATGTACTCTTTTTGTCTCATTTATTGTTATAGTTAGTTTGAATCTAAACTAAAGTCATACATTACAGTTGGTTTATGTGTATTTTAAACTCTTCAAACCTGTAAAGCACCCTTTTCTCTCTTTTTTCTTGTTGAATAAACTATATTGTTTGTCCCATAGAGTTTCCTACTGTTTGGATTTTGCTGATTACATCTCCATGCTGTCTTTTAATACATTCCTCTTCTACCTGTTTTTCTTGTCATTTGGTAATAAGATCTAGAACCTTGATTAGTCTTTTCTATGTGTTCATCTGTGAAAATAATTCATAGGTAGTGGTGCGGTAAGTACTTTTTTGTTGTTTTGTTAGTCCTCACCAGAGGATATTTTTCCCATTGATTTTTTTTATTTTTTAGAGAAAGTGGAAGGGAGGGAATCAAGCCTGCAACCAAGGTACATGCCCTTGACCAGAATCGAACCCGCAACCCTTCAGTCCGAAGGCTGGTGCTTTATCCACTGAGCCTAGGGCAACATTTTTTTTTTTTTTTTAGATTTTTAAAAAATATAGCTTTATTGATTTCAGAGAGGAAGGGAGAAGGAGAGAGAGATAGAAACATCAATGATGAGAAAAAAATAATTGATTGGCTGCCTCCTGCACGACCCTTACTGGGGATCGAGCCCACAACCTTGGCATGTGCCCTTGACCGGAATCGAACCTGGGACCCTTCAGTCCGCAGGCCGACGCTGTATCCACTGAGCCTAACCTGCTAGGGCTAGGGCACCATTTTTAAGTGTACAGTTAGTATATTGTATTTGGAAGTCATTAGCCCTTAGCCTATGGAAAAAGTCAAGAAGACCAGAGCTGCAATTTAGGATTTACACAGAAGTCTGGAGAAGATATGGGAGAATAGAATGTTGAATTCTAGTATTACTTAAGTTAATCAGAGGTGATCTCTGATATCCTTGAGAATTCTTTGAATTATCTAAATGTTAATTTCTACCACTGATATACAACAACATCTCAAAGGAATGCTATCTTTAGGATAGGATACCTCTCATTGCTATGTCAAGCAAAAATACCATGGATTCTAGTGGGGTAGGGTGGGGGATGTGGGACTAAGGTCAAATGGTTCACAGAATCTTTCCCTCTCAAACATGTCCACAGCCTAAAAATGTTTGATGAATTTAGATGTGATCAACGCCTTCTAATTCTTCAGAGCAGCTTTGCCAAGAATGTACATCTCTTAGAAGGTAGTAGATCCCCAGAGACCAGGACAGGACATTTTTACCTAAGAGAAATATTGTACAGTGGGCTGTAGGACTCATGAAACCCTTGCCTGTTTCAGACGCTGACCGGAAAGGAGATTGAGATTGACATTGAACCCACAGATAAGGTAATACCCCAACACATCTTCATGCCTATCTCTCTACATTTGTTTGGATATGCTGATGAACTTAGTCCTTTGCTTTCATGCTGTCTGCATAGCTCTGTTCTTTCCACTTCCATGGCCCTATCCGTATCTACCACGGGTAGCCCCTAACTACTTGTACTCCTTAAGGTGGAACGAATCAAGGAACGTGTGGAAGAGAAAGAGGGAATCCCCCCACAGCAGCAGCGGCTCATCTACAGTGGTAAACAGATGTGAGTTTGGAATGGAAATGAGGGTGTGGCAATCTTACATGAAGATGAGGGAGCAAATACTGGAGATGGTCTGCTTCTTTTTATTGGTGGCCTAGACCCTTTGACAATTTAGTGAAGCCTATGCACCCCTTCTCCGAATCAGATTTCTGCAGACATAAAATAAAATACATAGAATTACAGAAGCAAACCATATTGAAAATATTTTCAAGATACCTACAAATAATTGTAATGTGTGAAAATAATTTCTATTGTTAATAGGTTACCCATATTGCTAATACCACTATGGATTTTGCCTATGTTCACAATTTAAAGAATATTAGATTTCAGGTAGGAGTTAGTAAAAATAAAGATGTAACTTTTTTTTCTCATCTGAGTTTATAGACCGCCCCGGGGGGGGGGCGGGGATCCATGAAACCCAGGTTAAAAGCCCTGTTCTAGATGATTTTTCTAATCCTTTTTGTGCCTTCTTTTCCTGCAGGAATGATGAGAA